CAGAGCTTGTTGGCGGCTCATGCTGCAGGTACCAGGGGGGGAAGGTGGTGCACGACATTCTACCCAGCTCACCGACGTCACTGGTTGTCAGGAACTGGGGGAATGCCAGCCAGAGCATCACAGGTTGCTAAAAGCTCTTAGCAACTTGGGACACTCTGGCTGGAAAGAAAGTGGCAGGTACACCTGCCGCCCCCCCCTCCCCACATGACCCAATGAGATGCCATCTGAGGCCACCTCCTCAGGCTGCCTCATGACAGGGATGGTCCTGGGGCAAAATTGATGGTGTTCACTTTGCACAGGAAGTTTCTGCTTAGTGAACCAAGTAAAGCTCTGCTGACTTGCATCACCCATTCTTAATATTTATTTTCCTTGCACATAATTTGCTATTCTTTGCAAAGTAAAATGTCACCACATTCGCCAAGCTATTATTATTATTATTATTATTATACAGGATTTATATGGCGCCAACAGTTTGCGCAGCGCTTTACAATATAAGGAAGACATTACAATCACAATACAATTCAAGACAAGATGGTAAGGAGGGCCTAAGCTAAGGAAACTTCCCGTGCAAAGCATTGCAATGGGAACAGCCTGTTTGCCTTTAGTAAATCAACCCCAGTGGAGGTGGAGTACAGGTCCTCTTGAGGAGCCCATGTTTCCCAGCAACTGTCCTTACACAATACAAATACAACAGAAGCAAATGCACACAGACACAAAGATGCATGCATTGCTGGGAGCCGTTCACAGCTGCCACATGGGGGACCAGAAACAGAAAGATATTTATAGCAAATCACGTGTGTGTGTGTGTGTGTGTGTGTGTGTGTGTGTGTGTACGCGGATTCTATTGTATTCTTCTTTCTGTATCATTTCAATTTCAGTAAAAACATCTCAGCAGATTTAATGTTGGCCACACAAGTTACAATCTTTAAACAATTCAAATGTAATATTCAGTTACAATTGTCCGTTTATTGCATAAATACCATCACACGGATATGACATGGATCAGCCCTGCTGCTGCAAAGTTACAATGTTTAGAAGGGGAGCTCAGCAATGGTAGTCTCCAGTTTTCTCTCATGACCATTCTTCCAAAACGTCAATGCCTGTCACTTTCACCCCCCCCACATCTCCAGATTATGCCCCTTCTTAACTGAACACCACCAAGATACCAATTCACTCTCTTATTTCTCACCTTGACTATTGCAACTCTCTCCTTGTTGGCCTACCTACACCACAACTCTCTGCCAATCCCTCCACTGTCTTCCATCTCCCACCTCTTTCTGCCAATCCCTCCACTGTCTTCCATCTCCCACCTCTTTCTGCCAATCCCTCCACTGTCTTCCATCTCCCACCTCTTTCTGCCAATCCCTCCACTGGCTTCCATCTTCCACCCCTCTCTGCCAATCCCTCCACTGGCTTCCATCTCCCACCTCTTTCTGCCAATCCCTCCACTGCCTTCCATTACCCGCCCATCCCTGTCAATCCCTCCACTGCCTTCCATTACCCGCCCATCTCTGTCAATCCCTCCACTGCCTTCCATCTCCCACTCCTTTGTGCCAACCCCTTCACTGGCTTCCACCACCCACCACTCTTTGTCAATTCCTCCAGTGGCTTCCATCCCCCACCCCTCTCTGCCAATCCTTCCACTGACTTCCATCCTCCACCCCTCTCTAGCAATCCCTCCGCTGGCTTCCATCTTCCACCCCTCCTTGTTGCCCTACACAGGTTATCCCCATTTAGTTTACCATAAATACTGCTGTTGACTCCTCTACCTTACCACCTTATGCATTTGAACAACGCATTATAGCGCACAGCAGGGCAGGCTCATATGGCACCGCAGCATGAGCTTTATGTGCACAATAACGTGTGCTGAATGGTGTAAACAAGCCCTGAATGTCTGCGCTACTGAGAGATGAAACCATCTCACTTGCAGACCAGTAAATGTAATGAGATGCTAATGAGATAATGGCCTGATGGTCACAGTTTGTGTGTAAATGACATTATCTCAGAGCCAGGGGTGCTGACTGTGCTGCTTGTTATACAGATAGCCACTAGAGGGAGACTCTAGTCCTAATCCTGTATAGGAAATACAATTTGGACCAGCAAGACAGTAAAATCCCAGTTACACCATTACTATGAGAAAGAGTTAGAACAACTTTTCCCTGCCTGGGTTCCTCCTGAGGTTGGTAGGGGTTCCGTCAGCAATGGTGAACTGTTCTCCCACCTACACTGGCCACCAATATAATGTGGCGATTTTCCACTAACTAACAATAAAAGGATCCCTTCTACATTGACCGCTAATGTCAGGGGACACCATTCATCAAGACCATTTATAAAAATAATGTCATCTTACAGCCCTGGGTGTCAAATACTCCGGAACACCACATTCCTTATTCTTTTATTTCAAGGGTCTCTTGGGGGTGGAAAGGTTTAGCATAATGATTTGCAAAGTGTTTCAGGTGAAAAAGCATCGTACTTCCCCTTTAAATGAAAGAATGTTATGCACAAGCACGTGTTACAATGTGTCTAGAAGGATCTGTCATTGATGGTGAGTAGTACAGGGAGGCTCGCTCATTGGGGTGTAGTCTAATGACACCGGCAGCTGTCCGATGACAGATACAAGACCTGCAGCCTCTCTATTTATACAGATCTGGAATCTGCTAGTCACTGAGCAGCAGCTGCCTGACTCATGGTGTGTGTGTGAAATTCCATGGAGCGTCTGTGTGTGAGCATGGAAAATATAGAATGTAGACAGGAGACAGACAATGGGTGGCAAAGCCGCACGTCTATCTATAGGTTATAGGAAGCCACACTCTAGACCGGCGTTTCTCAACCTTTTTTTAGTTATGGCATCCTTTAAAAGTATACAGAGTCTCAAGGCACCCCAGTATCAAGATGTGCAGCCCTCCAAAATCCATACGAGACCCTTATACCAGATAGGGGACTGGTATGGATTTTAAGTTGGGGAACTCATGCAAAAACACACAAAAAATTGGGTTCCCCTTTAAGTCAGGAACCCGCCTTCACAGCAGAATCTCACCTTTTACACCAGAGTCCCCCTTTGCATTAGAAGCCCCCTTTTTTCACTACAGAGCCCCCCCCAACACACTTACTAG